AATATCGTACCGTGAGACTTGGATATCGTTACACCCCTACTGAATTAGATTTTGAAATTACAGCAGATAATCTCTCCGAGGCAGTGATATTAGTACAGCTCTAACATCACTGACTGACAGAAAAGCCTTTGTGTAGAGAGTGAAATCTGTCTTGTTTCTCCAGCTTTCCCCCTTGTATTTGACAGCCTGTATTCCATTAGCCCCCTCATCTTGTACTGTCTTCTTTATTGCTACAAAACAGTACATGTCTGGGTGAATGTCTGACGTCCCTGAGCTTCCACCCTAATTGGCATTCCAGTCTTATTACGCTTTCTGTAGCTCCTTATCTCTTCTAGCAGTTTGTATTTCACATCTTTACCAAATTTGCTCTAAGGCTCCGGCGCAATATCTGTTTAGGTGGATTTTCCTAACATGATTTGCAAGAAAAAGAAGATGGCCATACATCAAAGTGTTGCATCATGTGTGTAGATTTTCAAAGCGCTCCTAGCAGACGTGCTCCGGGCTCTGCAGAGTGATGGGAGCCACAGAAACGTAAATTATGCTCATATTTCAGGCAGGCCAAAGTCCACTCCTCCTCCTCCTCCTCTTCCTCCTCCCCCTCTTTTCGCCCTCAGAGTCATCCATCTGGACTTTGTTTAACCAAGCGGAAAATTAATGTTTTATCTGTGGTCAAGGTGTCAAGGCAGATGTGAGGAGTTTGATTATTTTAAGTGTGCAATGTTAATTTATAGTCTGTCCAAAGCCTGAAAGAAATCCAACTTTATTTATGGAGCACATTTTGTAAATAAGGCGGCTTTCTGAGTGATGCAGATACAAGACAATATAAATTAAGTATGATTAAGTATGATTTTTTGTCAAGTAAAGGGCCCATATGCTATTTTCTGATCTATGCTATAATTTTCCTGAGTTTTGTTTTGTTTTATTCACTTAAATTCTGCAAATTTAGTTGTTCTCTCAAACAGAGAACACTGGTCTATTTTGTCACGCCATGTGGTAATACAGGAAGTGCTCCACTGTATTTTTACTTCATACACCCCCACTAGAATCATTTGCATGATTTCAGCCCTGGAATCGTCAATCTCTACTGAAGTACTACTTTTGAGCTTTGGACATGTAGACAAACTAGTAATAAAGAATTACTCAAACAAAACACAACTCCAGGTATGTTTTTGATTTTCTTGGACTTTCAGGACACACAAAAATAAGAATTTTTGGAAACTGTGCTTTTAAGCTCTTATATATTGCACCAAATCTGAAGCATGCAGATTCACCATAATTATTTTTCTGTAATTGTTTTGTTTCCACTTAACACAAAATTACAGTTGTGGGTGGAACCAACAGAGGCAAATTAAGCTCTTAAAACATATTTTTTCGACAAGAAAGCCTTCAATGAAAAGTAATTTCCGAAAGAGAAATAATTAGTTGAATTAACACGTATTCACACAAAAATATAATTTGTTTTGATACTTTTTTATGCTTTGAGTCAATAATTAAAGGTGCACTATGTAACTTTTTGATTGGAGGTCTGTCACCTGTTTGTTTCTATGGAGATGTCATCGCTCTGCTTGGAATGTTCTACAGTGTGACGTTAAACAGCTTTACTTTACATTTATTCAATTACAGACAGTTTTATTGCTCAAAAATACCTACTACCTGTAACTTGGTCTGGGTTTGGTTTCGTCTCTGTGAAGATAGAAATGTTTAATGCCATACTGTGAAACATTCCAGACAAAGCAATAACATCTCCATGGGGAAAAGCATTTGATGGACCCTCTACCAGAAAAGTTACACAATGCACCTTTAAGTCATTAAAAATACAAACATTCAGAATTTCGCTGATGTCTTACAAGTGTGTGACATTATAGATGATAAGGACATTTTGATTGATTGATAAATGAATGAATGTAGTGACCTTGTATTTATGATTTGTGTTTGTGCAGACGATCGGTCCAAAGGAGGGCTGGCAGGTGTACAGCTCGGCGCAGGATGCTGACGGCAGGTGCATTTGTACTGTGGTGGCTCCAGAGCAGAGCCTGTGCTCCAGAGACGCTAAGAGCAGACAGTTACGACAGCTACTGGAGAAGGTACAACATGTGACAGATATGTGGGATTACAATCAGTCATCATAATAATCATAATCATGTTTTATTTGATTTAAAGTCCATATTGCACTATATTCAAATTTATGTTATAATGTTTCCTCATCACAAACATACCTGGAGTTGTGTTTTGTTTCATTCACACATGTTTCAGACACAAAAGCTGCATATTTAGGCACTGTTCCACCTTGTCATGTGTGCCACGATGTCATGTTATAATACAGGAAGTGCTCCACTGTGTTTTTAAAATTCATAAACCTTCACTAGAATCATTTGGATAATTTTAGCCCTGGAATTACCAATCTCTACTGAAATAAAGGTAAACAGTAGCTGTTTTTGAGGAGGTAACACCATTATGTGAACATCAACACCAGTTACACCAAATCTACTTTCACTACATAATACTGTGTACCTTGTCTGCCACAAAATCCTCTCCATGGACATGTTACTGTTTTGTCTAAATGCTTCACAGTATGGTGTTAAACTTATGTTATAACATATCAAACACTGCACAGATTTGATGTAAAGTGCAAGACCCCATAAATACCCCCAGTGTAAACATTAGCATAATAAATCCATTCAGTGCAGCTCATAGGTAATAAACAGTAAAGTAGCAGGAGCAAACAGACAGATATGTGGAGTTTAATGTCATTATGCAGCATTACCAGTCCAACTCAATATTATTGTTTTGGTGGGTGTGGTTATTGTCCATGAGAGGCACTGTTCACAAACTCACTGCTCGGGGATACAGGCTGTTGGTCAGTCTGTTTTTTTTTTTAATTAAAAACTAAATTAAAATGCCTCAAAAAACACACACACTTACTTTGAGCAGCCTTGTTTCTTCATGTTTCTGACCTGGCCTGGTCTGGTCTGGCGACATCATGCTTGTCTTCTTGCGAAATAGATTTTTAATGTCGTACTGTGAAACATTTCAGGCAAAGCAATAACATTTTCATGTAGAGATGGAGGTGGTGAACCCTCCACCAGAAAAGTAACATATGTACAGTAAATATATATCCTTTTTACCTGTGTGGTCAAAATACATATGAATATGATAATAAAATCACTTGACTTCAGGGTTGATAAAAGACTGGTGTTGTAAACATTTATCTCTCATCACAAATAAAAATCCATTTTCTATTTGCACTTAAATGAAAATTTATTAAACATGTAAGTTGGTACTGAGTGAATCTTCACCTCTGCATGATTTTAAAATACTTTCCTCCCCAAAATACAACACAGTCTTTGTCCTTTAAAAGCCCCATAAAGCTCCCACTATCCCACATTTGTTCTACTCCAGCAGCAGTTTATTACACATCGGACACATCCAGAGCAAGCACCACAGTGACTTCAGTGAGACTCAGTGAGAGGAACAAAAGACTCAAGACTGCTCAGCTCCGGGTCTCAAGGAAAACCGACAGGGAGTAAAATATGACAAAAGAAGGTTCATTTGGACTTGTTTTGTACAGTATTATAGGCATGTGGCTATCCAACTGTGACGCTGATAGTATTAAAGATGGTATTAATGTACTGATACTTCGCATTTCCTATGTGATATTAACTGTGGGCACTGCTCTGTCTGGGGCTCTGTTACTCAAGTTAGACTTTATCAGCTTTGTTTTAAGACAATCTGACAAGAAAGAACTGACTTAGTTGGAACTAAAACAGGTGAGCTGATTTATGCTGTTAAACACTACCTCTCAAATAACATTACAGTCAAAAACTTGCAATCATTAGCCAATAGTTTTTCAGTTTTTCACTCTCGCCTTTTTTGTTGAAAATCAAACACCTAAACAGGACCATGGACGTTTATTGTTTTCAGGCCGTCTTAAAACTTATTTGGCAGTGTTAATGTGCAGGTGAACGGTCCACCAATACACAATACACATACATGTAGAAAGCACACAGCGTAATGTCACTGCAAAGTATAAATAAGAAGTTTACAAGTGTATCCAGACCATTAACAGCATGGTCCCTTAACAAAGTATAGCTGTGAAGGAAAACCTTAATCTGATCTTGCCCACACATTTTTCATTGTATTAATTCATCTATAAAACACAATAAAGTCATTTTTATTTCTGGTTGGTTAGTTCTGGTTAGTAATTCTTTTTTTTTTCAATCATGTTTAGACTACTCTTTGGTTTATGTCTTGGTTTAGTCCTGGTTCAGTCTTTTTGTATGCCTAGTTTGCTCTTATTTACTCATGTTTTAGTTCCTATTCTTGTACATTCTTGTTTTTAGTATTCCTCATCTTTAAGTAGTCCAATTTTGATCAGTCTTTATTTAGAAATGATCTTTGTATTTATGTATTTATATGCATGTATTTATTTATTTACGTTACTGGCTAGACATGTAAAACAGAGACGAATTAGCAAAAACAATATTTAGTAAGTGAACAAAACTGTCCGCAAATACATCTATTATTCCGCAATATCAAAAATAAAATCTCTTGATTTAAAAGGTGCACTGCACAACTTTTCTGGTCGAGGCTCTGTCACCTGCTGGTCTCCATATTATTGCTTTGCCTGGAATGTTCCAATGTATGACTTTAATCACATCTATCTAGCATTTATTCATTACAAGTGTTTCTATTCTTCAAAAATACAATGATTCTTTCTGTGTGAATAGAGTTGCCTTTCCACAGATCTGACCTGTAATGTAGCCTAGATATACAGGTTTAATCTCTACTGTGGAACATTCTAGACAAAGCAATAACATCTCCTTCAAGACAAACAGGCGACGGACCCTCCACGAGAAAAATTGCGCGATGCACCTTTAAAGGACTTAACAGACTGAAAATTCTCCTCAACTTTATAATCAGGGTTGTTGGTCATCATAAGAAATTGTACTCACAAACATACTTATTCATCAATTCATGTGTTCTTTGTATTCTTGCCTCAGGTCCAGAACATGTCTCAGTCCATCGAAGTGCTGAACCTTCGCACACAGAGGGACTTCCAGTACGTGATGAAGATGGAGAGCCAGATGAAAGGCCTGAGGACCAAGTTCAGACAGATCGAAGACGACAGAAAATCTATCATGACGCGAAACGTCCAGGTCTGTGCAGCCGCCTTTAATCTTACTCTGCTCAAAACCCGATCAATAGCTCATGTCTGAAGACTTTTGTTATTTATTATTAACTACTACGGTTTCATTGATTTTAGAAACACTTCCAACAACATCATATCAACATGGGAGCATTTTTCTGTGTGCAATGTGCAGATTGGCAGTTCAGGCTTGTGTACTGATGCTGTGTCCTTGGGCAAGGCATTTTACCCACTTGTCTTTGTGAATATGTGACCTTTAATGGTTATAGTCGGATAGGTCATTGGCGTTGTGGCTACTGAAAGGGAAAAACAACCTGCGAGAGAGATTGGAATGAATGAATAACTGATCTACTGTAAAGTGCTTTGAGAGGCTTGTCACGTGTGTAAAATGTGATATAAATATGAAACATTATAATTACTAGATGCCATTAGGAAAAAGTAAGATTGTAAGTACTTCATTGAAAAAAAAAAGCTAACAACCAAAAACATTATATTATCAGATGCAACATTAAAGTTTTCTGTGTACCAAAGTAAGTAAATAGAAATCATCTTTTACACCATATAGTACAGTGGGATATTTAAATGTATAATCTGTCTTGAGAATGGTTAGACAGTCAGAAAGTCGTTGGTCAGGACTACCTCAGCTAGATGATTTTATGTATGGTGCATGTTTTGGTTTGATGAGGTAAACTGGTAGCCAGGCTGGCGCCACCTAGTGCCTCAGTTCAATTTAATTTCTCTCTAGCAACTAGGTCAGGAATCGGAATACACTAGACTGTTTGCAAGAACCCCGGAAGTTGTAGACCACACACCGTCCAATCAGCGAAGCGAGCTGTGAAGCCATGACGTCAAACTCAAGTGCCTGTCTGTGTCCCTTTTGTGGTACAGCACAACAGTAAACAAAGTGGTCAAGATGGACGTAGACGAAGACATACATTCTGTGTTGGCAACGATCAAGGATTTAAAGCCAGAACAAAGAGAATGTTTGGTGAATTTTATCAAGGGGAAAGACGTTATTGCCGTTCTTCCTACGGGATTTTGTGCATTACATACGTCATGACCAAATAGCAGCGACTGATTAAATAAAAAAAGTACCCGCCTACCATCGAGCAAACGAATTCTAATGCTGCGAGGTCAGACAGGCCAATGAATCAGGCTAGGAAAATAGAGTGTCCAGAGAAAACTCACTGAACACAAGGAGGACATGCAAACTCTATACAGAAATGACTGGTGAAACAAAACCAAACCCTGTACTTTCTTGCTTTCAAGTGTTAGCAACTCAGCTTAACGCTATTGTATCAGGATCTTTTGAATTCCAAACAATATTTTTAAATTATAATAGACAATAAAATGAGTAAACATATGGTGAAGCTCAAAGACAAAAAAAACTAAACAAATGCAATGCTGACAAGTATTTGATTCACAAAATATGCCACATTTAGTTAGGTAGCTAGTGTTTTACAGCAGTATTGTCCTGTGTGTATAGTTGGGACAGCTGGGTTGGGACCAGGGAGCTTTGTGGTGGAAATTTAACACACTCCAATGGAAAATAAATGCATGGAACAATGGCCACTACCACAGCAACAATATAAATAAACAATGTCATGGTTTATCGAGCAACAAAATATTACAGTATCTCTGAAGGAAAGGACAAATGACAGAGAATATGTGTCTATTTTCAGCTAAGTTATTATGAACGCAAAAGCCACCCCAGAGAAATATAAATTACACCGCGTTTGGATAGGTCTTAAATACAGCTATGCAATACAATACAGCTCTTGTATAGTGGATTTTTATTGCCCATAATTCATTTTTACTATTCTATTTAAATGCTTTATATGGATTCGTTTTATTGAATTGCTTTTGGCTACTAATGTTGTCAGGATACCAAAATTTCAATCTTGATTTTCATCCAATGGAAATGTTTGATAACAATTTTGCTACGTCAGGCATCTCAGAAATCTTTTTAGCAAATGAAATGTAATTTACATAATATGTTTTCTTGTTTATTACCATATGAACTTATACTAGTTCTGATTATACATATATAATATGCTTTTTAATTTAATAGTGACAGAAGTGGGACCAAGTCGTTGTTTTGCAAGTTTCAAATAAGTCTCAAGTCTTTGACCTCAAGTCCAAGTCGAGTCTCGAGTCAGTGGCCCATAAGTCCAAGTTAAGTCTGAGTCGTCTACTTTGAGCTTCAAGTCCTTTCAAGTCTTTAAACCAAATGACCAAATATAGCTTAGATTTTTGCAAGTAATATAACTTTTAAATTAAATTGTATGTAAAAAATCATGGTATATTTATATATGAGTATTTATATAAGAGTTATAGAAATTTACATTTTCCTTTTTAAATGTCTTGACAAGATCTTCAGATTTAAAAGTGCTAAATAACAGTTTTGTCATGTAGTCTGCACCGCATTGGAAGGATCATGTTCTGTAGTTCCCTCCATTTACTGTATTGTACTGTATTGTACTGCACATTAGTGTAATACATTTGATGACACCATCTCACAGTACTTCAGTTACATCCAAAGTAACAAACAAAGGTGGGTGGGACATGGTCCGGTTTGTTCCTGTATAATTAATCACCGCATTTATCAACTAAAAGTACTTTCTAAGATAATTTTTAGGAGAAGCAAGTCTTCTCAAGTCACAGGCCTAAAGTCCAAGTCAAGTCCCAATTCACTGACCTTCAAGTCCAAGTCGAGTCCCAAGTCTTAATCTATTTAAAGTCAAGCCTCAAATCCTAAAAATACTGACTCAAGTCTGACTTGAGTCCAAGTCACAACTTGCAAGTCCCCACCTCTGGCTACTGAGCACAAATTATTTCATTCATCCAACAAAGTCTAAACTAAATACAACCATAACTATAAATAATTATGAATATATAGTATAATCTAGTTGGAATGCAGATTTTTCTTGTAATACAGTGAGTTCTTGAGTCTAGTCACTAGTTCAACATTTCTGAATTTATTTTTTGGATATTTCATGGCAAAGTACAAACAGGAAAAAGGAAAAACTGTTTCTTTCCCCTGTCTGGGAGCCACATCGTCACATTAGAAATCTGAAAACTACCTGTACCTTTTCTGTTCACATGCAGGAGCTGAAGGAGAAGATGGATGAGCTGAAGCCTCTGATCCCAGTGCTGGAGCAGTACAAGATGGACGCCGCTCTCATCTCCCAGTTTAAAGAGGAGATCAGAAACTTGTCTTTGGACTTGACGGGGATCCAGGAGGAACTGGGAGCCTATGACTATGACGAGCTGTACCAGAGAGTTCTCCGGCTGGACAGCAGGCTCAGGTCCTGCATGGGCAAACTGAGTAAGTGAAACAGAAATACACAAGAACATCTGCTTTTTTGTCAGATTTGTCAGCTTTTCTGCTTCAATTTGAGTAAAAAATTTGTGAATTGAAATACTTACAACTACTGTAACGTGCACTTCAATACTAGGGATGGACCATAACAGAATTTTTGGTTTAGGGTGGGGGGTAGGAGTGGGCTGGGGGGGCATTTGCATAGTTATATCGATATATCCATCATTCATCCATCATCGCTGATATCCATACTCCTATCCCTGTTCAAAACAATTCAACATGTTCAAGCTCATTTGAATTAAATACTGGTAATGTTAAGATTCATTAGAGAAAACATCTTCATGTGTCAGCCCTCTGATACAAATGTCTCTAGATACTGTGTATTGGTTTAGATTAGGAATGTAACAATAACCGAAACATCGTGATATTGTATCAAAGTTCTGACAATAATATCGAGGACCATCACAATATATCGAATTACAAGTCTCTTTGCTTACATTAAGAGTTATGGTACAGCAGTAGCTAAAAAAAAGACAGGAGATCCTTTGCTCCATTTCAGTGAAAACTACAAGAAGAAATAACAGTTCTTTTAAGTCTTAGTTCTTTGGATTAAGTCTTAAGCATTAAGCATTTTAAGAGGAAAAAGTAGTGTATTAACAGTTTTGTTAGCCTTGACAAAATATAGCAAGTAATATCGTACGGTGAGATGTATATCGTGAAAATATCGTACAGAGAAATTTGGATATTGTTACATCCCTAATCGGGAGCTTTCCCACGATATCGCAATAAATATCGTACCGTGAGGTTCATACTGTGACAATATCGTATTGTTGACTTGGATATCGTTACACCCCAGTTTAGATTGGTAATTGCTATGACAACCATTCATGGGTTTCAGTCTGAATCATGTAAAGATGTTTTTATGCTCTACCATTTCAGTCCAGAAATGTGTTGTATTATTTAAAATTCAATGACGGGTTAGATTTACAGCCAAACACACCCTGAGGCCAACTCAGTAATGTGATTCCAGCATCATACTACCTCAACAGACCTCAATTTGAATCAATGTATCCTAAAGTAATTCTCTGCATTATGCTAATCAGAAAAAGTAAGTAAGTAGTTTAACTGAACTTACGTATGTTTCTTCTTTATTTTCATTCATAATTATTTACACTGTAGATTCTCACTGAAAGCATCACAACTATGAATGAACAGATATGGAATGTAGCAAACAATCAACATAGTAAAAATAAAACTCGATTAATATTAAAAATAAGAAAGTCCTAAACCTGACAAGATGCAGCTCTGAAGTGAAAACTATTTCAGGACACCTCATCAAGCAGATCATTGAGAGGGTTTGCAGCACTGTCAATAAAGCATACATCTTGCTGTCAAATTCCATACATCTTGCACATTACATTTGATATCTTCAGTATGTTTATAAAATGTCAAAAGCAGTAGCCTAAACGTAAAGGAAAAAAATACTGAATGAGAGGGTGTGTCCAAACTTTTGACTGATAGTGTAAATACTATAAGATACTATATCCTCACAGCAGCTTTATTCACGGTTTTACATCTCCACAAACTGTTTTGCTTCTCCCCTCCTGGTTTTAAAGTAACAGATAACAACAGCACCAATCTGCAGTATAGGAAATAGTGCAGTGCTTTGAGATAGCGGACCTCTCGGGGATGGATACTTTCAGGGCCTATTTCCAGAAACTCAAATTCTAGTTATTTTCATGTGTCATCCCAAAACAAAATTGATATCCTGTGTTTTGGAGGATGTGAATTTTGCTCAGAGCTGCAGTGGTGGAAATTGTTTCTGATCCGGCGACTCTTTGGTGTAAAATATGCTGTGCTCCAACATCCAAACAGAAAAGAGACAGCTAGAATTCAAAGGGAAAGACAGCTGCTTGGATGTAATAGGTTTTGTGTGATTGCATTGTAAGTGCACACAGTGGTAGTGGGAATAGTTTAAAATGGGTAAAAGTGGAAAAATACAAGCAATAACGCATATATTTTCTTGAGTCTTGCATTAGTTTATATATAGAATGGACATTTTAAAGGGTCCATATTATGATGTTTTCACACATTCACACATGCTTAACACACAAAACCTGCATATGTAAGCTGAGTTCTCTTCTCGTCTGGTCCACCTCGTGATGTCATGAGGTAATACCGGACGTGCTCCACTGTATTTTCAAACTCCATACACTTGCACTAGAATCATTTGGATAATTTCAGCCCTGAAATCTCTACTGGACTAAAGGTAAAAGGAGCTGTTAATTTGAAAACTACCTCTACATGACATCACAAGGTGGAACAGAGCATTTTAAGCTTTATATATTTAGATAAACTAATAATGCAGGGTTACTCATTATTAGTTTACTGTATGAATGCAAACACAACTCTAGGTATTAGGGATGTAATGATATCCAAATCTCTCGGTACGATATTATCACGATATGCATCTCACGGAACAATAATTATTGCGATATTGATTTGAGGTTAATATAATTCTGCTTTTAAAATACCTTGACAAGATTTTGGTGTGAATTATTTCTGTCATAATGCCAAGAATAGTAAAAAATCTCTTCATGTTGTTTGCACTGAAATTAATCATGGGATATGTAGTTTCTGATGTTCATAAGCTGCTATAAAATCATGCATTTAAGCAAAGGAACGTGTAATTCTAAGTATGTTTTTGAGGAGGTAACACCATTATAACATGGCTAAAAGCTCACATAAGCACATTTTGCATAATATATGACCTACAAGGGTGCACTACTATGCTTACATCCACAGAAAGGTTATTGCTTTGCCTATTAAACTTGTGCATCTCCACGGAGATAAGAGTAAGTACAATAGTTCCAAGATACAGGCACATGTATTCCAGGGTATTTTGAGCAATAAAAATATCTGTGATTGAATAATACCATGATAGATGAGTAAAATGCCATAGTGTGGAACATTCCATTTAACACAGCAAAAAGTGGAGTGTTAAAATTGACTCTCACAGAATCAATTTTAACATTTTCTCAGGGTTTATATGAGATATTTAGCATTTTTGGACCAAAAGGACCAAAGTTTCTGTTTAACCCCAAAATCAAGAGTTATATTAACGTTTTGAGAGTAAACGGATAACACTTTGTAGAGTTATCATGATTACATTTTTTACACTTTTAGTTAATTTAAGATGAAATTATGTACAAAACTTTTTCAAACTGGTCTTCTCTTGCAGGAGTTTGAAGTAGTGGGTGGGAGGTGCCAAATTAATAATAAGGGAAGTTGAATGAATACTACCTTCATCCATATCATCTCTGGCAAATAACCCTAACTTGAACCATTTAACTTTCAAATAGTTAAAATAACACTATCTGTATTAAAAACAAGCCAAAATATTTTACCCTGAAATTTTAACCCTCCAGTTTTTGCTGTGAAGGCTATAACATCAGCAAGAAACAGGCAGAGCAATGCATTGGTCGGGATAATTGTTTTTTTGTTTTGTTTTTTGTTTTTGTTTTTTCATTTAAAAAAACTAAAATGCATTTAATATGAATTAGACTACATAGATATTGCAAAAAAAAAAAAAAAAAAAAAAAAAAAAGATTACAATTTCTAAACAACCAATTATAAAGGAAAGGTAATGAAAAAAGATAAAGTATAATGCTTACCTTTTTATACTTTATTACCTTTTTAAATTAATCTGCTTTTTTTTTTTTTACATAAGCAACAATTACTAAAGCAAATTCGTAGTAGTTAGAAACCTTTTTTTTTTTTTTTTACATTATATAGGAATGCGCATAGTTCCCATAGTGATTAGTGTGAAGCAATAAATCTCCATTATAATTTAATTGAAATGAGTGCAGTTGTGGTAGTCTTTACAATAGACCTTACAAATGTATACTGCGATCAAACACAGTACAAAATGCCGCAAAAGTAGCTGTTGCCAAGCATGTATTACTTTAAATTAAATAACCTGGTCTTAATATGCATGGGGACAGAGTCTGTTGGTGCAGGCATGAAATTGGCTTGAGAAATCCAGTTAGAGACAAAAGCACCTTGGCCCTCTTCTAATATGGTTGCATTTCTTTGTTAACAGCATGTGGCAAATTAATGCAAATCACTGGACCTGTTACCATAAAGACTTCTGGGACGAGGTTCGGAGCATGGATGACTGACCCACTGGCAGCCACCGGAAACAACAGGGTGAGTATGAGAAGGAGGAGAGGAGAAAGAGGGGGGAGAAGAAGGTGGAGAAAGGGGAGGAGTAGGAGGAGAAAGAGGGGGAGAAGGAGGAGGGAAGAAGGAGACAATATGATTCAGTGGTGGTTATAATTGCAAATAGTAAGATGACTTTGATTGTAATTGGAGCAAGTTGTTTTTTAAAGGTGCTCTATGTAACTTTTCTAGTGATGGGTCCCCCACCTGCTCCCCTCCATGTATACTATCGCTTTGACTGGAATGTCTCACAGTATGGCATTATCTGTGTATTTTTAGTGCAAATGCAATGGACAAACATGCATTCTTACTGTGAGCAAGGATGCCTCTCCACAGATCTGACGTGTAACTTGGCCCGGTGAGGTCACTTCAATGAAGCTGCACTGTGAAACATTCCAGAACAGACCCCAAAAGTTACATAGTGAACTTTTAAATACATATACCGTATTTTCCGGACTACTGAGCGCACCTGAATATAAGCCGCAGGTGTTCACGTTTTCAAGAACGTTTTCAGGCCGTCTGATTTTATCGCATCTGAAAGCTTTTGTCGTTAGAATTGAGTCAGTTCGTCACACTGCCACCACCAAAATCTCACCATCGATTCACTGATGCCGATCTCACGTGCAGCAGCTCTGTTTCCTTCTTCGACAGCCACATCAGTTGCCTTTAACTTAAAAGCTGCATCATCTGCATTTCTTCGTGTGTTTTCCATGAAAAGGGTGTGTGTATGAAGCGCAAAATAACTCTTCAAAAAACACAATCAAATGAGCAGAGAAGTTTAAGATGTTTCTTCTCAAGTAAGATAGATGTATAAGTAAGATGTATCCCCCTCACTATGTTATGTTACTATGTTAATTTAGCATCATAGCTTATTTTATCACATGCCGATTATTAACTATCTGAGTGCGCTGACAATATCGTGAGCTTGTGTAGCAACTTCATGTTAACCCTAGATCCATGTATAAACCGCACAGACAGCGCCGCTTTCTGCACTCAGGCTGCGCCTATCCGCTGTGTTGCTAAACTAAAGAAAATAAATATCAAAATTGGTCAAATCTAAGTTTTTGGTTGGAGCAGGTTTGTATACGACTGTTGGGGGGAAAAAAGTTCAAACAATGGATACAGATAGCACCAAAATGATACAGTCATCTAAATTCATATTAAAATGTATCAGTATAACAACTATAGGAGTACTTATATTAGCTTACAAGAATGCCTTATATCTAAAAAGCAGTCAGAACTCGTAGCACATGCACACAACAGAAAGGATGAAAAAATTATTTGATTCAGTGACATCTACGTCTGTCTGTGTTTGACTTTGCTGATTTCAGGAGACAGCAGTAGTTATATAAGCTAACAGTGCTGGAGATAGGTGTGCGTAAACAGTCTCCAGTTTCACATTGAGATTTCAAGGTGGCTTGAATGTATTTGGAGCTCATAATATCAACAAATATGTTTTATCCTGTGTGTCCTTGTGTCTGTGCTGCTGTGTGCCTCTACAAAATAACAACTTCACAAATCTAAAACATAATTACGAAATAAGAAATATCATCAATGCCGACCTGTTTTTCACTCGTATTGAACTATCGCCAAACATATTTAAAAACTCTATGTAGTCTGCTAATTTGCTTTTCGATTAATTACTGTATGCTCTTTCACGATTCAATAAACAAAATATGAAAGCACCAACAAATTGAAAATGAAAATACAAAAGATTTATCCTTAAAGGTGCGTTGTGTAACTTTTCTGGTGGAGGACTTGTCAAATGCTTTTCTCCGTGGAGATGTTATTCACAGTATGGAATTGAATCTTTCCATCTTCATGGAGACCAAATCAGACTAAGTTACAGGTCAGATCTGTGGAGAGGCAAACCCGCTCACAGTCAGAATGCCTGTTTATTTATTTATTTATTTATTTTAGGTATTTTTGAGCTATAAAACCACCTGTAATTCAGTAAATGTAAGGTAGAACTGTTTAATGTCATACTGTGTAACATTCAAGGCAAAGCAATCACATATCCATAGAAACAAGCAGGTGATAGAACTGGAATCAAAAAGTAAAATAACGCATATTTAAAATGTTTCTTTTTTTCCTGAATTGCAGATTTGGTACATGGACAGCTACACCAACAGCAAGATAGTCCGTGAATTCAAAAACGTTACTGATTTTGTGTCTTCAAACGTCTCCCGAACGTACATTCTGCCTTTCAAATGGGAAGGAACCAACCACCTGGTCTATAACGGCTCTCTGTACTACAACAAGTATCAAAGCAACATCATCGTCAAGTACAGCTTTGAAACCGGGAGAGTTTTGGCCCAACGAGCCTTAGAATTCGCCGGATTTCACAACATGTATCCTTACACGTGGGGCGGTAATACCGATATCGATGTCATGGCGGACGAACTGGGATTGTGGGTTGTCTACGCGACCAATCAGAACGCAGGAAACGTCGTCATATCTCAAATCGACCCAGACACGCTCCATGTGCTTAAGACTTGGAATACCGAATACTCCAAAAGGAACGCAGGCGAATCCTTCATGATTTGTGGAACTCTGTATATTACTAATTCGCATCTGTCCGGAGCTAAAGTGTACTATGCGTATTCGACGAAAACTTCTACCTATGAGTACATAGACATTCCCTTCCATAATAAGTATTCTCATATCTCCATGCTTGACTACAATGCGCGGGAGAGGGTGCTGTATGCCTGGAATAACGGACATCAGGTTATTTTCAATGTCACCCTCTTCCATGTGATCAAAACAGAGGATGACTCTTAGACCAGACTATAGGACTTGACTTTGAGGGGACAAAGCCGAAGCACCACTTACTTCGTGATACAAGGACCTCAGAGCTGGAAGAATTTGTCTGACCCAAAATGGACTTGTTGCTATTACTTGAACTGTTTTTTCTTTTTTTAAATGTGAATTAAAATGTGGCGAAATTAAGCATGGAGACAAATGAGACTTACACCAATCAGGCATAATATTACATTACCAAACTATTAAAAGGTCCTATATTACACAAAATTGATTCTTGTGAGCTTTAAGCTGTGTTATAATGTAACAAAACACAATGTTTTTGATGAGGAAACAACAGAACATAGATCAGAATATAGCATAATAATGGCTCTTTAAATTACACCTATTAGGAAATAAAACATCAGTGCTAAAAAATAAGAGTCTGCCAAAACAAGTGGATTTTGCGGATGTCTTGTTTCGTCTAACCCAGGGCAGCTATGGATACAATAGCAGCACCATTCACGACAGCGGCCACAGTTAAAGATGCACTATGTAACTTTTCCATTCAGTGGCCATAACCTGCTTGTCTCGATAGATACTGTATGTTATTGTTTTGCCTGGAATCTTGCGCAATCTGGCTTTAAAATGATCCATTTCCATGGAGACAAGCAGGTGTGTGACATCTCCAAAAATAGGTACAGGTTAGTAGCCAGGCTGGCTCCACCTAGTGCCTCCGCTTAATTTCATTTCTCTCTAGCAACTAGGTCAGGAATCAGAATACACTATACGGTTCGCAAAAACCCCGGAAGTACGAGTTCGGGCACCAGCCAATCACTGAAGAGCCATACATTCTGTGTTGGGAATGATTCCAGAGAGCAAGGATTTAAAGGCAGAACAAAGAGACTGTTTGGTGAATTTTATCAAGGGGGAAGACGTTATTGTCCTTCTTCCTACGGGATTTGGGAAAAGCTTAATATACCAGTTAGCCCCGTTGGCAGAGCATTACATACGTCACGACCAAATAGCAGCGACTGGTTAAATAAAAAAAGTACCCGCCTACCATTGAAAGAACAAATTCTAACACTGCGATGTCAGACGGTTTCTACGAAGTGAAACCAGCTAATGAATCAAGGCTAACAGGTCAGAACTGTGGACAGGAAACGCAAAGTAAGAATGTATGTTTTTCAAGGACTTTTTAAGCATGTGTAGTGGAATAAATGCTTAATGCCATACTGTGGAATATCCCGGGCAAAGTAACAACATTTCTAGGGACACACAGATTCAGCTTTTTCAGTTCTGATACCGATATCAGTACTTTGACTTTAAGGATCTACGGAAACCCAATATTGATCGATACCAGGAAAGGAGAGAAAATTGCACTTATTTTGTTCAAACACATTTAACTTCTTACACAAGAGATCCAATTGTGTTTTGCAACTGTTATTAATCCTTCAAATCACTACAGAACAGCTTTGTATGAATAAAAGTTCCAGCATTATGAGACATTCTAGGCCAAAATCAATACTCCAGTGTTTCCCGCAGAGCTTTAAAGGGCGGCCGCCTCAACCACAATTGCCCCCCGCTTTGATTACGTCCCTCCAAATCACGTGAATTCTTGAAAAAAAAACCCGGTCCTCACTTTCGCCGGCACAGTATCTCTGCCCCCCGGTCACCACCAATTTTCTGTGAGAAACACTGACACACATTATATCAAGTTAAAAGCCCAACCCGGATATCAGCTGGACATCATCATGGAGACATTACACAAAAAAGTTACACAGTGCATCTTTAGAAATTGTAATTTGCCATTCACTTAATCTGTCAGTGGTTCTGTAATGTTATGCCTGATTGGTTTTACATGTTTTTATGCTTTGTTCATTGCTGCTGCTCCTGTGTTTGCCTTATGTTGGATCCACCAGCCAAAGCCACTCTAAAGCTTTCTGCATGTCCACTGCTCGTCAAAATGCTAGAAAGTGTTAATTTGCTTAAAACTGCTGCTGTAATTGTGTTTGCATTTTGTCTACCTGAACAATGTCTGATTAAAGTATTTAAATCTTGCCTATAGAAGCTACAAAACAGTTTATTTAAATGAGCTTGTAATATACTGCTGTTACGCTGTCCATGTGGAAGAAAAGCATTTGTATTTTTTATAAAACAATCATATCTGTACATTTTCATTATGATTAAATATTGTACATTTCATTACAACGTTGTGGCGCATGCATTTTTTGAAATTACAAGCAGTGAGTATACATCATACATTTAGCTGACCATGTGGCGTTCATAGTTGAAGCTCTTTTGAAGCATTTTTGACCCTGATTTTTGTTCTTTATTCTCTGACCTGGCCTTCACCAAACTTGATGCAATCTGTCAGTAGCAATGGTCAACCACAATGCTACACCTGGGGACCTACAGTTTGAATTTGGTTTTCAAGTTCCAAGATGGAGGATAAATACTGGAGGTTGACTAATCGAAAAACATCTAAATATCAAAAACGGTAAATTCATTGACAAAGATATCCAGAGTGACTACGAAGGATGAGTTTACATTTCCACACACATGACACAACACATCCAAATTGGGACAAAACTGGGATTAATCAAGTCTAAACCAGGACTAGAACAGGACCAAACCAAGTCTACATCAGGACTAAACAGGGCTCCCCTTTGGTAGTACAGATGGGCATTTGCAAATAATTGGAAATCCCATGAAGCCATAATAAACCATTATACATTTTGTAACTCCTACAATATGCATAAAGTACAGAATTTTCTTGGCTTCAAATTATTAGCTGATACACTTTAAAGGTGCCCTGTGTAACTTTTATAGCATGGGTTCACCACCTGCTTGACTCCATGTGTTTTTTGTTAGTTTTTTTCTTGAAATGTTCTACAGCAGGGGTGTCAAACTCAAATTCACAGAGGGCCAAAATTAAAAACTGGGACTAAGTTGTGGGCCAAACTAAATATTTATTTAAAAATTTCAACAACATCTGCATGTTTTCTCTTTTTTCAAGACATGTAATTTTAAACCTTTTCTTATTCAAATAAATGTTTAATAATAGTTTTGCTTAAACATTGAATCCAGACAAGCATAATATAACATAATAACAACATTTTAAATAAATAATGTCTATCTGTAGCCGGCAAACCAGCTCTAATACATATTTGATAAGATCTCGCATGCCAAATATACTTATATCGCAGGCCATATTTGGACCCTGGACTTGAGTCTGACATGTCTGGTCTACAGTATGGCATTTAATTTAACCATTTCCGTAGAGACAAGCAGGCCACATCACCAGGTCAAGAAGAAGTGGACCTGTGCACAGAAATAATGCGATAGTTTTGAGACATAAACACACCTCTAACTGAATAAATACAAAATATATGTGTTTAACGCTACTGTGGAACATCCAAGGCAAAGCAATAAGATCACCATGGAGACAAGTAGATGAGCAAAAGTTACACAGTGCGCCTTCAGAGGTTTCATATTTTTTATAAAGTATCAATCTAAACAACCGTATCTCATGACATTTGAATAATAATCAGTCATCATTTGTGATTCAAGTCTGCCTCACTTCTATAAGACATTCATTACCCTTACCTCCAGTTCACCAGTGTATCCTTTGTTTACTCGGAGCTGAAATGCAGATGTCATAACATGGCCTCTTTATGGCAAACCACACACACGCACATGCACACACACACATTATGCAGAGAAATTGAACTGTGCCAGAGGGAAGTTCATTAGCATGCATCTCTGTAAACAAACAGATGTAAGCCTGGATCAGTTACAATCTATTAGTCTCATCTACATCATCAGCACAGACTGTAGGAGGCTCAGAGCGACCTCTCATTCACAACTTAATCATATTCACCTTTCACTCTTACTGTCAGATTTTAGTCTGTTTGCATGAAGATCATCCATGTAGTAGTAAATCTGCACCAAACTTTTTATTTTTTTTGACTGGCTGTTGCTTTATTTTTAAATTGACCTTACATCAGCTATCTGAAAAATATACACTAGGGCTGGATGTGAAAAAGTAGATCCTCAATTTAGATCAAATACAAATACTAGTAAAAGTTAAGAACCACTTTGTAAAACAATAATTGACTAATCTGCAGCAAACTCCTCACCAGGATTTGATAAGGACTAGATTAGAACTAAACCAGGACTAGAGCAGGACTAAACCAAGAGTAGAGCAGCACTAAAGCAGGAGGACTAAGACAGGACTCGATCATTAGGACTAAATGGACTAGAGCAGGACTAAACCAGCACTAAAGCAGAAGGACAAAGACAGGAATAGACCAGGACTAGAGCAGGAGAACTAAACAAGGACTAGACAAGGACTAAACCAGGACTAGACCAGGATGAAACCAGGACTAAACCAGCACTAAAGCAGAAGGACTAAAACAGGACTAGCGCAGGACTACACCAGGACTAAAGCAGGACTAAAGCAGGATTACACCAGTACTAGAGCAGGACTACACCAGGACTAGAGCAGGACTAAACCAGGACTAGAGCAGGAGGCTAAAGACAGGAATAGACCAGAACTAAACCAAGACTAGAGCACGACTAAATCAGGACTAGAGCAGAACTAAACCAGGACTGGAGCCGGAGTAAACCAGGACTAGACCAGGACTAGACCTGAACCAAACCAAAGTTTACATCAAGACAAAACTGGGTTCAAACTAAGACCAAATAAATTAAAATGTGAATGCACCATGGAAAAAAAAAGAACACAGAAACAGCACCAAAGATAATATTTGTGGAATGATACAGAGGACTTCTTTGCTGTGGGGCAAGAACTAGGGATGTAACAATAACCGAACTATGACATCACATCGTCAAAAGTGTCCTGTTGAACTGCATGGTATTTCAGGCCATGAGTTCTTGCTTCATTTCAGTGCAGACTATATGATAAAGGTTTTTGGAAAGTGACAGTAATTATTCACACTGAAGACATTTTAAAAGTAAAAAATTGCCACAATTTTGTTCATCTCTCCAAAATATTGCAATAGTTATCATACTGTAAG